CGTTCATGTTTGTGTTCCGCTCGTAACTAAATAACTTTATACAAAATTCTCACTCGTTTATTCCCCTTCTGCCGCCGACCGTGAGGCGTATAAAAGTAGGTGAAGCTTGGGAATTTTTTTTCGTAGGTAGATGCTAAATGAAAAGTTTCGATTGTTTCAGAGGATATAAACGTAGCTCTCGGGATTTTTCTCGAATTTTCGAAAAGTGAAAACGTTGCAAAATGGGGGAGTTATTTGCTACTTGAGAAACCTCTTCTGCTAGATGGAATGAAACGTTTGAAATAAAAAATTCTTGTTGATATGAATAAAAATGTATTATTTACAATATAGCGTAGAATTTTTCAAAAATTGTGATTATTAGAGAAATGGTGGCAGTTTGAAAAGGAGAAACCACTCAAATTTAAACGTTTCTAAAAAATTAAATAATTGAGATATCGAAAGAACCTCAAGGTATATTGTAGATAATACATTCGCATTTGTAAATCAACAAGAATTTTTTATTTAGCAAGTCAAAAGTTGCATATATATCCCCCCAAAAAATCGAAATTTTTCGCTCAGCAGTTACCTAAGAAAAAAATTCCCAAGTTTTACCTATGTCTAAACGCTTCAGGGTGGCTTAAGTACCCCCTCGAAACACAAAATTTCACAATTTCCCTCGAATTTCTCAAATTCAATTCACGAGTGCAACTCGCGTCGCGTTAACAACAAATCGTTCCGTTTTGCTACGGGATATCCAACGAAAGAATGCATTCCATGATTGCAACCATACAGAACGAAAGCTCGAAAGGAATCACAGAAGCGTTAACGAAAGATCAAGGAAATGATTTCACGATCTGATTGTCCGGTTATTTACTGTCACTCGCCACGTTACGTCGGGTTATTCACCATCGAACCATCCTTAGATAACGGGGCCTGGCCGCATACCAGCCGGCTGCAACGTAGCAACACAATAATGCCGCACGTGCATAACGCTAAGGTCCGATGCATAATAACGATTTCCATATAAAACGAAAAAGGCAGTTTGGTCCAGGAGGGCGCTGGCCCTTAATGAGCGATATTAACATTTTTATGTTGCCGCGGTACGCAATCGTCGCTCCACCTTTTTATCCTTTGATGAGTAAGACTCGTACCGGGATAGGTGAAACTCATTAGAAACTAACGAGAACAACCATTATCCGACGCGGCAACGTCAGGATAGAGTGAAATTAAAATCGAAAGGAATTGCTTTTTGCCTATTTTCATTTACCCCGCGTCATTTTCGTTTCATTTTCGTGACCACGTCACTCGATAGGTATGAGAAGCATTACTCGAAGGTAACGACGGTTAGAAAACGCGATGCGAAAATATTTCCGCTACCTCGCACGAGAAAATGTTATTCGCTGCAGAACTTTTGCAACGTAAAATTCTGGGTGAAAATTAAAACTGAGAAATTATACTTTTTCGACATGTGAACAGTATTAGCGCGGAATTAAGTAGGATTTTTCGGCAGTTTGGTCCAGTGAAATTAAATTACTTTTGATTGAAACGTGAATTTCGATACAGGCAAATGGATTTGAATTCTTTGGATTTTGTCGCGCTGAAAATATCGATTGTGCATAAATTCCATATTGCTCATTTCAATATTAACACTAGGTTTACGGACAATTACTATACACCTATCTCTACGCGTCAAACGAAAGGCGCACAATTTCTTTAAAAAACAACATATACACTATTAACTTATGAACGAAACTATGTGACATTACACATTTATATCAAATTTACGATAAACGTAAGTGGTAGCAGAGAAGTTTAAACAGTTTCTGTACTTTTCCTCGTGAAAATTCGAAATGCGTCAAAATGACGTGTTCCATAAACCTAATCTTAACCGTTTGAGTCCCACGCGCCGCTTTCGCGCTCTTCAGATTTCATGTCGAAAAAACCCAGCGCATTTGAACGATACGGACAACTGATGGCGCACTCACAATCTGACGAAATTTTTTGTATATAAGTAATCCAAGACATGCTTTTCATGCTTTTCTCGACATGAAATAAAAGGAGCGCTGTCGCATCGCTTCGATCTTTTCGCATCCCATTCAGAAAGCGCTATTGCGCTGTTCGGCTTTTTTCGACCGTGTTTTTTTTTAAAAACCTCTGGTACTCAAACGGTTAAAGTATCGTGTACTATACACTCAACACACCTGTACCAAACTCCTTCACCTTAACCCTTTCATTACTATTCGCGCCTATAGGCGTTTCGAAGATCTACTCGCACCGTACTACCCGATCCTTCTGGTGCACTTGCACTTTAATTTAATCCTCAATTTCATTCTTTACGCACGTCCACCTTGATGTTAATAAACCGAATTTTAAAACGTTACGGACAAAATAACAAATTTTGCAGCCGTGGTTAAAAATTTACCGCCAGTCGCGAAAGGGCTAGCTATTCTGTACAAAAATTGTCGATCGAAGAAAATGGAATACATAAAAGAAGAAAAGAAAAAAAGTGGCGGTAGTTGGGGAATTCTTAAAAGTGTCGTGTCGCCTAAGGTTAATTGCACGGCACAGGGCGCAGTCTAGAAGGGTTGAGCTTCACGCGGAGCGACATGCATGCAGGATCGTTTACGTTGGGCGCAGCCATCGGTATAACCGCGAAGTCGCGGCTCGACGCCGCCGGCAGACTACTGTGACAAATTACACATAATTCACGAGTCAATTTCACACACGGTTGTCCCGCCAGGGGAGACAGCGCCGTTGAATACGAGCGTGCCGGGCTAATCCGAGAAACGAACGGGTTGTATCGTGAACGGAAGTAAACACGCTAGCAACGATGATACGTGCGGATCTTCGTAACGAATGATTAGGTGTTTTACCAGACCGTAACGGTCGGTCAAAGCAAATTGCTTCGTTTAAATCTTCGGAGAAACAGGTGTCTCCGTGACGTATATTGACACTCTATCTTGCCAGAGAAATGTTTGCCAAAAGGAGCAACGGGAAATATGATATGGTACACGTTGAGGTCTTTATGCAGCTGAATTTATCGCGCCGCTGTATACTGTACGGTTTGTTAAGATTCTCGATTCGGCGGAGGTAATAAAATGCCAAGTGTCAAGCAGCGTTAAATCGTTAAGAAGAGCTGTTACGCGATTTTACGGCATCGTTTCGATTATCGCGATTAAATGGATAACTTGTTGGAGAGGCTGATAAGCTTGTTCGTTCGTTGTGGAAAAGTGTCGTTTGCTATGTTTCAACGTGATTAACACTACCTAGATGTTATTTAAAATGGAAAAGGGCTGTTTGTATTTCGATGCGTAAGAGTTAGATTGTACTAATGGATGATAGTTGGAAAAGTGAGAATTAAGTATTTAGATAGGTTGTTGTGAAACAAGGAGAGATTGTGACAAGAGATACATTCGTAAAAGCAACGCTTAATTTTCATTCTCCAGGGATGGTTTACAATGAGATTTTCCCAGAACTGTGTCACCAAACTGAACCAAACTGTGTCAGCAAACAGGTGGGATCCTCCGCGACGGCCATTTCTGTCCTAGCCATTGAACCGGACATTTCGAGAGCTTTTTGTAGTAGGTTTTTAGAATATTCTTATCACACCCATCATCGGTGCATTTAAAACTGCATTTAAGAAGCGAATCTGAATAAATAATAAATTCGTCAATCGGCAAGAAGAGTTGGAATTTCAAGAAAACTTTATTAACAGGCTTACGTGTTTAAAACGAACGCAACAGAAATTCATTTTGAAGGAAAAACAGCACTTGTGATCGAATTTCATTGCAACCGAGATGTTGATTAGTTACTGTGGCAGTCTACGCTTAAGAATTTCGAAATTGTCCAATTTTTAGAATTAGCATTTTACTTGGACTCGCAGCACCAAATTTTTGCACTATCGCGCAAATATACTATCGAGGGGAGGGATCGTATGTCAAAAGACACAACTTTGAGGATAAAACAAGTAGGTAATGCAAAACTGAGGTTCAAAGATTGCCTAAAATACTGAACTGCTTCCCTATACATAACTCGCAGTCTATAGTCTTAGCTAAGGCTAGAAGGCTTGGTACCAAAGAATACAACAGTTTAAACTATTGTATTTCAAACTAATTAGGTGAGCCACGCAGAAGAAAGTCATGGAAAACAAAAACAACTCAGAGAAACATACTTCAGATTTAGTTAGCCATCACACTACGTACACAGAAGCATTCACGTGAAATTAAATCCTTGCCTTGCAATTTTTCAATTGAAATTTCCCTCAAATTTAAAAAAGTCAATTTGCATTTGGTAATTGTCATTGAAGTTACACCTAAAATGCAAATTAATTACAAATACAATCTTCAATCTACGCTTCTATTTGTACAGATATGAATGTAATTTTTCCAATCACCTTTTACTTACATAAAAATTCATTTTTGAAAAGTCCTTAATTGATCATTTCGACCCGCCTGGTAGTTTCAGTGTTAACCATAATCTGCACCACCTGCTGTGACTCCCCGTCACGAGGCAAAGGTATTTAACTTGGAAGTATCGTTTTACGGGTTCGATAGACTGTCTACTTAGCCAGACAGTTCCTTAGGTACTATTTAATACGTCTTGTTGTATCTGTTTTCGTCTGAGGACGACCGTTGCGTGTCAAGTGGTAACATCGGCCACGGAATACCG